CTGTTGTTGCAGGGAGAAGCTTCTCCATCTATCATCAAAAATCTATAGTCAAGTGCATGGACAAATGGTATGACGGTGCTTAGGAGAACCCGGAAATTTTAAAGCGCGGTTCTTCCAAAATTGCGCCTTACCCAGGCTTGTGTTGATGCTTATCTGTATGAAATTCGAGTATCAACAGCATAGGATATGGATTGACTGGTCAACGGATATTGTCGTTGGTTGATGGCTTGGAGTCTCACCCAGCTTCACTTCAATCGGTCTGTATAGCAGTATAGGATTTAGCTACAGTAGGAGTTTAAGGTTCAAAGTGTAGATTGATTATGACACTGATATGGTCTGTTCCCGAGAATAAGGATACATAGCCAGATCTTTGGAGGCTAAAGTCCTTGCGGGTTATATTGCTTCTGAGGTCATTATACAACGTACATCAATCTCCAACTAACTTGCTGAGATGGAGCCCTAAGAGAATCAACAGACTGCCAACTGTATGGAGGAAGAGCGATATTTTTTGTCTGGATGCAAGGTGGCACTCCAATAAGGATGATACAGGTGGAGACCCGACAAGGTGCTTCAAGTATTCTAACTTTTTTTTCTAACATGAATGTACCAAATGATGTCTGAGGCGATCAGAGAGGTTCAATCGGTGGTGGCAAGGTAGAGTTCCTCTCTAGAGTTCAGAGGTCCGGGTTCAAATTCTGGTCTGCTCTGTCATATTTTCTCCCTTCCTGTTACATTTGATGTCCGTGTACCGACCATTTGAGATTCAGTGAACTTGTTTCGGTTGGTGGACCGTTATGCCAGCCTTGGTGGCTCATTGGTTGGAGCACCTGACTAGTGATGTAGGGTTTACTTCCCGGTTCAGCTATAGATTTTCTTTTATTTTTTCTCTTTTTCTGTTCTATTTGGGAAGATATATTGTTTTCCCATAGAATATCATGGTGACTTTGTGCTTTCACTTCTGAGCCACTAACATATGATGTTATATAATGGAATTATGACGTCAAGTCACTGCCGACTCGAGCTGTCGTGACGGAGATAGTGTCACAAACTTTACACCTGATTTCAAACTACATGAAAAAGACAAGGACGCTATAGCAAAATTCGTGTGTTTAAATGTACTCTAACATCTAAGGGTGCTGTTATATTTAAGGAATGTTTTTTTAATTTAGTTTGTTTGAGTAATTGATGTGTAAATCACACAGACTTGGGCATATTTCATTAAGCGCGCTAGCGTCACTTTAGCGCGAATTTCTTCATGTTTATTTCTACTAGCGTGAGTATAACCGAAAATGGCATTGAAAACAATTTTTTATTTTTGGTTGGAACAGTAGAAAAACACAGCGAATGTAAATATGTAAGACTCCAAAGTCCGATGGTCACACAGAAGTCCGATGGTCATGCCAGAGTCCGATGTTCTGCGATAAACCCCGATGGTATGATGTCGGTAAGGAAGCCAAAGTCCGATGGTCTCGCCGAAGTCCGATGACTTGTTTCCTATGAGACGCACTGCTCTAAAGTGCGATTGTCTGATACGGTGCGAAGAAACTATCAACGTCTATGACGTCACAATATTCCGACGTCAATCCTCGACGCTGTTGCCCAACATTCAAAGGCCATCAATTCAGTATTCGTCCTCGCATACAATTTTACTGATTTTGCTTATTGATTGCACACCCACCAGAGATATTAGAGTTAGTTCTCGAACACCACTTCCTCGCACTCTATTCGACTGATTGGGGTTAGTCTCGTACCCACCCAAGATATCAAAGTTACACTTCTTACACACTTTTTGACCGATTAGGGTTAGTCTGGCACCTATCCGAGAGATTAGGGTTAGTCCACGCATATAGTATTTATTTGTATTTTTAAAAAATCTTGGCATGGCGCAGCATCGCAATTTGGCGCAGTAGTACTATGACGTCATAAACGTTAATTGTTTTTGGCACCATCGGACTTTGGCGAGTCAAACGATCAGATTTTGGCGCAGATCATCGGACTTTGGCGTGACCATCGGAGTTTGGAGTCCCATCGCACTTTGGAGTCCAACAAATATATTCGAATATTTTGAAAAATACTTCGTTTTATTACCCTTAATTGAAATTCAACGAAATTTCTTACAAAAAAAATTAACTTCAGTGTCAGTGGTTAGAGGAAGAATACTGTATATGGGATTAATTTCACGGGTTGTAATTATCACGTTTTCTCTCCTCGGACACGAGGTTTGATATATTCGCGGAATTTGTATGAAATGAAAGTGACCTCTCTTTGTCTGCCTTAGTCCATTAAAAGTATAGCCAGAACGACAAATCATTGTTAAAAAGTAAAACGGTGTTTGGGATGTGTTTACTACATAAACTATACTCAGTTAAAATAAAGTTGTTACATTTGTTAATTCATCGGAGCAAGTTCATTTAAAAGGCTTTGATGATGTAGCTTCGAATGACTTACGATTAGTGCTGTCGTATGACGTTACAGATTCTCCTTTTCGAAGCGAGAAGAGTGGTTTTACCACTGGTCTTTAAACACGATGATATATACATTACGTCGACAAAATAATGAAATTTCGTGTTTACAGAAAATCCAAAAGTTATTTGAATTATTTAAATTTACAAAACAAAGACCCGTATTACCAAATGATTAAAGACTAATAAAAGTACTCAGGTGACTGGTATCCACAGTGATATAGTAAGTAACGCACGGGTAATCAACATCCACGGCCCTTATGTTTTGATTAATCAAGTAAGTACATGTGGCTTTGGCTATTAAAATAGCTGTTTAACATAGATACTGGTCATTATCTTTTGATTTGAATTTTTGGAGAGCGTGGTAATTAAAATAATTGAATGACTCGTAATTACCGAAGACTACAACATTAAGTTAGGAAAATAATTCTATAACTTTTCTCAAGCACATTTTGTGTACACAAGGATACGATGAGTACATTTATATAACAGAAAGTAAATAATAACTGTGTTAATCACCTCCGCCGAAGCGATTGATGTTCAAATTATACTTAACCCGTAAAGTGATCAGAGAAGTCATGTGATATCGTAACAAACATGTTAATTCATAGCCGAGAGAACCCTTCACATTGACATATTTAAGTAAATAGCTTACGAATTCAAATTTAAAATCGAGCTCGCAATTCAATATTATGTTTTGAATGCATTTTAAATCAAGCGTTGGAAAGCGTTAACATAGCTGCGTGGTAGTACGCCTGTAAAAGGTTCAGGGGGTTCAGATTAAAATCCTGGTCTAGTCTAATACATTATATGCCATCATGTTGCATTTTTTGTATGTACCTAGATATTGAGAGTGAAGAAAATAGGGTTGGTGGACAGGGGCTTTCGGCCTGGAAAATCAGTGGTTAGAGCATCTGACTAGTGATGCAGAGTCTCGGGTTCGATTCCCGATCCAACCATAGAATTTTTCCTTCTATTACATTTTTTGCACTTGACAGCACTTGAATTTACAAGTGAAAGTTCTGCCAAGAGAAAAGGAATCTAGGTTCTTTGTCTTGGAGCAAACACATTAAATGGAGAGGAATATGGCAGTTAGACAGGTTCGACCACAGGTGGTCAGATAGCTCAGTTGGTAAGGCACATGTCTAGAGTTTAGAGGGGGGGGGGGGTTCAAATTCGCGTTTGAAGTATTTTGTCCCTTCCTGTAAAATTTGCTGCTGTGTACCTACGATTTGACAATGAAGTTGTTTGCTTTGGCGAATTGTGGTGTTGGCCTGGCAAACTCAGTTTTGGAGCACCGGAATATAGATGGAAGGGTCCCAGATTTAATTCCTGCTATAGCCATAGATTTTCTCTGTTCCTATTCCATTTGGTGCCTTTTTTCACCCTGGTCTTGCAAGTGAAAGTACTGCCATGGGCAAAAAAAAATGTTTGGATGCGAATGCCTTCAAGAAGAGAGGAATGTAGCGGTCAGAGAGGTACGATCGCTGTTGGGACAGTTTACCTGGAACAGAGTATATGTCTAGAGTTCAAGGAACCCTGGTTTAAATCCTGGGCTGCTCTTTCTTATTTTCTCCGTTCCTGTTACATTTGGTTTGAATCAATGAATGAAGTGGTTTGGTCGGTGAATCGGGGTGTCGGCCTAGGAAGCTATGTATTGGAGGAGATGACTAGTCCCGGGCTAGATTCCCTTTCCTATTACATGTACATTTGGATTCCTGGACTTGCATTTGATAGATCTGTCAGAGGCAACAGGCGACAGGAAAGTATATGACAATCAGACAGGTTCAACTGATCAGACAGTTTCGATGAACACTCTTCATGTATATTATTGGTTTGTTTGTTGCTTAACGTCCCTCTCGAGAATTTTTCACTCATATGGAGACGCCACCACTTGTCTGTGGAGGGCTGCAAATTTAGACCTATACTCGGCACTCATAGCCATTGAGCAGTGAAGGATCTTTTTCGTGCCAGCACCTACTGCGACACGGGACCTCGGTTTATACGATGAAATGTATGGAGATAACGAACAGTATTCACGGTCTCATCCAAAGAACCGGTCTCCACGCCCCTCAGTTGAATTCGAATCAGCGACGTAAGGGTCAACTCTATAAACAGCGACTCGAGAGCAAATACTCTAACCACTAAGCCGCGCAACTGGTTTAACCTACGTCCTTAATATTAAAAACAAAATAAGACATTCTCAATTTATATAAATTCTAGCAGAAACAGAAAATGAAATGTTACAAACATACTGAGCTATTCTCAAAGGGATTTTATAGAGCATGCGCAGTTTGGATGCTTTGAATAAAATTTCAATGTTTGTATTTCTACTAAAGCGCATTCATCTTAACGTTTAATATACCGGTATGTGTACATGAATTAATTTACTGTTGGGGTGTTTGCTTAATTAAAAGGCACTTTTCAACAGTAAAGTAATGCACATTCCTGCATTGTATATATAAATACAATTTGTGGTAAATTTTGATGATCAATTACTAACAAACCAATCGGGAAAATATGAATATATATATCAGTTTAATTCAGTCTCATAGCGGTCAATTTTCCACAGAAGTGGGCCAAACCATGACTCATGGTATTGAGATCTGTGGAGGAGACGGCGGTGAAGGAGCCGTTAGCATCAATAAGGTCAATGGCGGTCTTCTACAAAGAAGTAAGCAAACAGCATAAGTATTAAAAAATATTTACATGTTTGTAAAACAATTCCTTCATGTCTTCTCCAAAGAATATTAGAAAATATTTTACTTTTTTATGTGGATTACATAGTTCGCCACGGTAAATATTGATTTGATTTACTTCTGTTATAAAATAAAATAATTTTCTCTATGTTATGAACAATATTAACCACCAAAACATCCAATATTTTTATGGTCCTATACTCCGACATTGAATAATTAAAAAAATCACAAGACTGCACCACTCGGATCACATCGGCCGATTCGTACCTCATCTAATGAAGTTTTACATACGCAATCAAAAACAATGGGCGATCCTATAAAACTATACATAATAGATATAGTAGTAATAGCAATTTTAATTTTCTATGGGAAAATCGCAATGTCAGAAAAATATGTTATTGAATTCGATGAAGATGACGAAATCATCCGAGGTTTGCCGAATGAAAGCTGAACAACGGCAAATTTTCATCAACACACATGTTGCAAATAAGTTCGAAATTTCCTGTTTACAAATTCCTAGTACACTTATAACTTTTATTTTTTAAATTTGTTTTCCTAGAGTGCATGGTATCGTTTTCCATCAGTTAGTTTAAGTCATCCTCCGATAGGCTTGCGAAACGTTTTACAACTGGCTCCAACCATCGCAGCCATTACTTGCATCCTAGAAGTGTAGTTCGTGACGTCACATTCACCGCTGTACACGCATGTCTTTGTTAGTCCCCTACCGGTGAAACCGGAGGGCACTATAGGTTTCCTCTGAGTCTGTCCGTCCGTCTGTCTGTCTGTCTGTCCGTCTGTCCCTCTGTCTGTCTGTCAGTCTGTCCCACTTGGTTTTCCGCACTTTTTTCTTAAACGCTTGCAGATATTGAGCTGATTTTTGGTATGTGGGTGTATCTTGATGAGTTACAGATCAAGTTTGCATTTCGTTCCGGTTCATTGATTTTTGACGGAATTACGACCATTCCAATTTTTAAGGGTTTTCCGCGATTTTTTTCTAAACGCTTGGAGATATTGAGCTGATTTTAGGTATGTGACATTACTTTGATTACTTATAGATCAAGTTTGCATTTCGTACCACTGCAATGATTTTTGACCGAATTATGGCATTTTCAATTTTTAACGGGAACCAGATTACACTTGCCGGTAGGGGACTAGTATTGCTAATGCAATACTCTCAGAATGCTTGTTAATATCGGTTATTAGTTAAAATCGGTTAATATGAAAATTTTCGAACAATTTGCTTTTGGTCCAACTTAAATGCCCTCTCCCGACTCAGGATGAAAAAATTGTGTCGATAGGTAGGTGTGAAATTTTTTTCTCAGAACATTTCAACATCAATGCTGAATTCTAAAATTCTATTTTCCGGAATACATAAAAAATAAGTGTTTCCTGGAGGTTGAAAAAAAGGTTTGAGTCGTTTTTTTTTTTATTTAGTCGGTCGGGGGAGGGCAACCAAACATTTTTTTTTTTAATTTGGTCTTGCATAGATTTTGTGACAAGAAGTAACCTAAATATAAGAGATCATGCATCCCTTTACCCACTGGATATCAATTTTTGATATCCCACTTTTTATTTCGATGTCTTGTGTCGCCTTGATTTGATATGAGTGCATTAGTAAGTTTACATTGAAGTTCGAGGTAAAATTCAAAAATTAAAGTTCAAGTTATATAATAAGTGAAAGAACCGGTTTCTACTCTTAAGTTTATTTCATTACACAATGTCTATAAATATGAACATTTTAATTGTCAACGAGTCCATGACTAATTATAGAAATGAACTCAATGACTACATGTACTGAAACCGTGAATAAGTTAAAGGACCAGCATTTTAGCTCTATTGTTGGTTATGCAACACAAAAAAAAAAAAAAAAAAAAAAAAAAAAAAAAAAACCAAAGACGGGGAAACGAAAGGAAATCAAAATGCGGTATTAATCGTGATGAAAAGAATCTATTTTTTACGATTGAATTTAAGTTTTATTTAACTCTCTAAAGGCTTCGGAACTCATCTCGCTCGATAAAAGTCATGTTCAATCAAAAACGATGGGTGATCCTATAAGACTATACATGATAGATATAGTAGTAATAGCAATTTTAAGTTTCTACGGAAAAATCGCGATGCCAGAAAAATATGTTACTGAAAAACACTGTAAATAAATCATAAAAATTAAATTAGTTTCCACGAATTGCGATGTATCTTACCTCGATGGTGTGAAGTCCAGTTGATGTGTGGATGCTGGTTTGTTCATCTGCTGTCAGCATGTACAGGTAACACATCTTATTGGTTTTTACTCCTAATGTGTGCTGTAAAACGTACGAAGTATTATGAAAACGTGTCTGAAATTTCTTCACTAGGCAGTATTTTCTCAGGAAAGAATGATCAAAAGTTGAAGAAAAAAATTTACCCCATTCAAATATTAAAACTGTTATAGAACGAAAGAATGAAAGATAGAGTTTATAATCTTTACCGAGTGTGCATCGTAGCGGAACATGAAGCTCTCGTTGATGTTGGGTTCGTGAGTGGGTCCAGTATGGTGTCCATGATGACCGTGTCCATGTTGTTTAGTTGTCATACCCATTGCCTATTTCAAATAAATTGTCATAGTAATATATTTTAAGATGTTTGTTGATTGTTGTGACGGGACGCATGACACTTTATTTCAACGGAAGGTTCGTACTACTGATATTTGGATTATAATAATTTTTTTTAACAAAGCAATGGGCGACTGTAAGAAACCTGCATTGCTTTTCACTTTTAAGATATGATAAATGAATAATTGTATAACAACGCTCTTCTCACAGAGTCCTGTGAAATATCTAAAAGAAAACATCACATGTTAAAAGCGCAAATTTTCATAACGTTTGTACAATTTCATTGTAGTTAGTTTTTTGGATGCTCAATTTTTATTGAATATGGCTTGTAATTTGCTCATACTCGGTATATAATTTCACGTTTGCCCAACAAAATCTGTTTTGTTCAAATTTGTATTTACATTTTCCCCTTCCAAAACAGAATATTTTTTGTACGTACATACATATGTACTACTCATTTTCATTACGCTAAATTATAATCATGTTTTCTTTTTCTGGTAGTGAATATGCAGTGAAATTGGACTACAATAAGGGTAGTGTTTGGGAGAATTTTATTTATTTATCTATTTATATTTTTAATAAAAACTTCGCCTACTAAAGAAATGAGGAAGCAGAAACAATTTAGATATCCACAACAAGAAAACAATTGGAGTTTCAAGCTTGGTGAAAAGAGTATCATGTAAAATGTCGGGCAAAATTGTGTCGATGATATTAAAAAGATATCTATAAATGTAATGACTTCAGACATGACCGAAAAAGTTATTGGTATATATGTTTAAACTCTTACCACAGAGGCAAGGCAAGTAACGAAGACAACAGAGAGCATCATCTTGTGTGTAGATTAAAATGTTCTGTTTAATAAGTAAGTCAGCAGGGGTTTTATAAGCATTCGGCATCATCTTATCTCCCTGATGTCACGCACTTTCTATATGGGTCAAAAGAAATTTCGAACTATGGGCAGTTACATCTCACATAATGTTCTAATCATTATATAAATTTATTGAAATGTGAACATTACTCGTATATGACGTCTATTTAGTCTTCACATTTCATAGCTACACGAATAATATTTTAAAAAATCTCAATAAAACAAGAGAGAAATCACGCAACATTTATGACGTCGCCAGGGACATAAATGTTCCTCCCGCAGCGAACGGTAAAAGGACATATATGTCCTTCCCGCAGCCAGAGGGTTAATTGTAAAAACAAAATACCATCGCTTTTTCATTTAAGAATACATAGGACAACCCCCCCCCCTTCCAAAAAAAGTAAGCAAATGATGGATTGATATATTTATTTTCACTGATTCTGAATGGAAATGGCATAAATAGTAAATCCCTAAGATATAAAGAAATCGTGTTTTCTTTGGTGCTGAAATAATGTGACATTGTGCTGTTTCTATGTAAATCTAAAAAATGCACATTTTACCAAATTTTCACACTTTCCTTGGCAAGTATTATTCAGATTACATACATGAATATATTTAAGGAATGTTTTTAAATTTTGTGTGAGATATTGGTGTGTAAATCACACAGACTTGTCACATAGGCATATTTCATGAAGCGCACTAGCGCTTCATGAAAAATATGCTTAAACGCAAGTCTGTGTGATTTACACGCCAATAATTCACACTAAACTTAAAAACATTTCTTATATTTACATTTTACATGTTTAAATGCACCAAAAATATACTCAGTGTTTGAATTTCTCGCTGCCCTATATCGTCATATTTTTACTAACGTCTCTGTAGTATCATTGTGACCTCACTTTAGCGCGAGTTTCTCCGTGTATATTTCTAAGCGTGAGTATACACAAAAATGGCTTTCAAATCAAATTCACAGTTGGCTTAGTAGAAAAACACAGCAAATGTAAATAAATCTTTAAGACATAGTGCTTATTTCTGAAAAAAAATTGTGTTTTTTTATCCTTAAACGTGAAATATTACATTATCCTGGTTGTTAAAGAATAAGCTTTTTAAAAACTTATGACTACGAAACATTTAAAAAAAAAAAAGGATGGACTATTCTCTCTCTGTCTTTCAGAACTAATACTTGATATCTTAGTCAAATGAAGACCTTGTTCCAATAATCTTTAGATTATAAAAAGATGATTTTTTTTTTATTTTTAGTTAATTTTTATGATAATGAAAAATGTGCAGATAGCGAACAGTGATCGATTTCAAAAAATCTACAAATTCAAATCTGTAAACAGGGCATAAAACACAGACCCCGGAAATTCCAGAGGTGGGATCAGGTGCCGAGGAGGAGTAAGCATCCCCTGTTGACCGGTCTCACCCGCCGTGAGCCCAATGTATTGATCAGGTAGATGGAACATTCCGAAGTCAAATTTAGTATAAAAACAAAGGCCTTACAATTGATATGAAATATGTCAGCCAAAATACGACCCAATGATGGGTTTTATTTGCTTAAAAGGTCATTATAACGACCATATAATTTACGAAATGCTAACTTTAAACAAGGTTGTTGAAATACCTGTAACATCAACTTATCTGTCAGTAGTCTGCCTTGGTTTAAAAATTGATCGTACTCAGAGGATGCTCTAGAGTATCGAATAAGTTGGGAGACGTAAACACCATATGCAGGTGATTGCAGAATATTACACAAATAAGAAAAGTTGTCGATGAAAAAATTGAAGTCATCTCGTTATATCATACAGTTTAGTTGTTAGTTGGTCCTTATCATCTATCGTCAGTAAAACTTTCAAATATAATACAGATGTGTCAGACTCTGTGGTTTTTATTTCGAGATTGCTGGGAAACATCATATGAATGGGGGTATTACTGTTAATTGATGAGGCGTTGTCGCTTTATCTGAATGTTAAATTGAAGGCCACAGTAAATATTTTCTTCTCATGTAGAGGTTTCTGAATAAATTTTGCTTCAAAGGAATATAAAAACAGGTCGGCTAATAAAGGGACACACATAGTAACCATCAGTATTCCAACAGTTTGTTGGAAGACCTTGTTTCCGAAGACTACATAGAAGTTGTCAATGAGGAACCCCAGCATCCTTTTAATATCAACTTCAGAGTACTTTTGAGTAGAATCAGATAGTTTTTAACAAAGTTATTCTGTTGATCACCAATCAGAAGATACGAAAATTTCCGAGTTCCATTTTTATTGAAGAAACGTTTGTCTTTGATTTCAAAAAGCCTAGTTTTTAATTTATCGTGAGGAATAGTTGCATAAAGTGTAGAAAAGTCGTACGTGTTGGCTGGCTATAGAAAAAAAAACAGCGATTTAATATTTTCTAAAAGTTCTTTGGAGTTTTTGAGAATCTACATCTGATTTACACCACTTCTGGAATATGCTGTAGCGCAGTGCGTCCTGAGTTTCTCCTTTATAGCAATTAATATTTTTGCAAGGAGTAAATACAGGGGCTTGGTACATGTAGATCATTTGCTGGACTCTGCGATGTTACCTTGTTATAAGGCTTTTTATGGAGTTTAGGAATCCAGTATACATGTAGGTAGGGTAGATCGAACTCACCTTGGTTGACAGGAAGTTAAAAGTTTCAATAACTGAAATGTGATTTTGAAGAATTTCATCCTTAGAGAGTGAACTGTTAGTACAAGTTGGAATTAAAACCAACTTTAAAAAAAGATATAATATTGAGCTTTACAAAGACAATATTGTTACAAGCCTTACCTGCTGGAACCATTATGATAGCATATTGTTTATGTAGTCTTTCTTTTATGAATTAAATGGCATTAAAATATATAGCTCCTCTTGTCACAATATGTTTGATACGTCTATGTTAAATTAACTTGTATATCCCAAGGCTTTCCAGCTTAATTATGAGGATGCGCATAATATGCCAGGATTATAACTAATAGATAAAGTAATTAAGTTAAAGATCAAATTTCTACCCGTTCACCCGGATCATGCTTGAGGATTTCATGTCTTACAAATCGATCTTGTTAATTTCAATATTTTAATCAATATCACAGAGCTTTACTAATGACAATCTTCTCTTCATTATGTTCGTGTTTCTTTTGAATTCTAAGCTAAGTAACACTTACCAATATACTTTGTTAATAGGTTATAAACAAAAAATGAATAATTTTACTATAAGTAAGGTCTTTGACTGCATGGCTCTCTTGTGGATACTGTTGATCTATAGAAAGTTTGCATTGCAAAAATTTGCGTATGAAAAAACATAGATGCCTTCAACGGTGAAATTATGTACTACATATATACACACCGAGGTGAAAATTTTTCCCTCCCCTGTGGGGTAGGATTTGATGATTTACTGACAAACCGATAATAAAAATGTGATCTATTGATTTAATTCAATCTCATAGCGGACAATTTTCCACAGAAGTGGGCCAGGCCATGACTCATGGCGGTGAGATCTCCGGAGGAGACCGCGGTGGTGGCGGTGTTTGCATCAATGAGGTCAATGACGGTCTTCTACAAAGAACAAGGCAAACAGCATGAAAACTCAAAGATTCGTGCATTTACATAAAACATTTCCTGTCATGTGTATTAAGTTTCATAAATATTCGATTCTTGTTGGAAACAACTGAATTCGTCAAAACACAGCAATTTCACTGGTAAATACACTTAGTTTTTAACTGAAATTTTTAAATTTAATTCTTTTAAAATATCAACTTGTATCAATTTCATCAAAATTTCAACAGAATATATCTGGTGCCAGAAAAATGTGTGATAATGAAACACGTATACGTATTGAATCAATGTATTGTACATGTGTACCTGTTGACAATTCTCTCAGCTATGAGGTACACGAAACTTACCTCTTGATTATTGAGAGATTTATTAACATCCACTGTATCTTACCTACATCGAGTCTTGTTGATAAATCTCTCAGCCATAAAGGACATTGTAGCTTACCTCGATGGCATGTAGTCCGGTTGATGAGTGGACGCTCGTTTGTTCATCTGCTGTCAGCATGTACAAGTAACAGTTCTTATGGGTTTTTACTGCTAGTGAGTGCTGCAACAAATTACATTTTCAGAACTTATTTGAAAATTTTGTCTTAGAGAGAGAGAGAGAGAGAGAGAGAGATTTGACATAAATATGACTTGCCACAGTTTGAAATACAAACACCTTTCTCTATTTGGTACATGCATTTGTTACAATTCTGAAATAAAGCATCGTAATTAATACCACTAAACAAGTACTCTGACGTAGATATTTAAAAACTTTGAGTTCTTCATTCAAATCTCTACGAAGTCCTTGAAGACCAGGTTTTCCAACAATATATTGGAATTCTAATGGGTATAATTGTGTCCCATTATTAGCAGACTTGTTTTTGTATTATTATGAAGCAGAATTTATTCATAATCGTCAACATGAAAAGAAAATGTCTCTTGCTGTGACCTTCAATTTGGCATATTGTGTTCAATTCATACGTTGTTTCCATACATTCCATTGTACTCGAAATAGAAGAGTCTGACATATCTGATTATTTTACTAGAAAAAGACATTAATGGCAAACTAACAACTAGATTTTATAACAAACGTAACGACTTCAACTTTTCTATCGTCATTTTCCCTTATTTATGTAGTTTCGTATTTCTATGTTTGTGCATCATGCATTGGAAGGTTTAATTTGAGGTGTTAACCATTATCACCTATTTGCAGTTTATTTCTCCCAATTGATTCGATACACCGGATCGTGTTCTTCGTACGAACGATTTCTAAAACGAAGCAAATAAGTTGATGATACAAGGGTATTCACAATTTTCTTTAAAAATTCTATGGTCGATACGATGATCTTGTTTGCAAATATAATCTGTCGTTAAGACGAATATTGACTGAAATTTTTCATACAAATTGACTTGACCATTATTCTCATATTGAATCGGCTACTTATTTCTCCGTTTACCCGATAATGACAAAGGGCACGTGGTGGGTGTGGTCAGTCGACAGGTACTCCCCCGAGACACCTGATCCCACCTCTGAGGTTTTTAGAGGTCCGTATTTGCTCTGCCCACAATTTGTATTGTTTCTCGGATTATTGAGCATGATTGCTGTTCATTATCTTTAGATTTCATTAAACAAGTATCACAACAATTAATGGTAGCAATGAGTAGAACGTGTTTTTACCGAGTGTGCATCGTAGTGGAACATAAAGCTCTCGTTAATGTTGGGTTCGTGAGTGGGTCCAGTATGGTGTCCATGATGATGTGTAACATGACCGTGTCCATGATGTTTAGTTGTCATGCCCATCGCCTGGTTTAGAATATAAGGTAACATCTTTTAAGGTAGTTAGATTTAATGCAAATGAGATTACTAAATATGGTCGGACAATAAATTTACACGAAAGAGGAAAGCAGACCAAATCCATCCAGTTTCGGTAGCTTGTGTAATCTTACTACTCACCAAACTAACAGTTGATATATAACATTTAAAACCAAGTATTTCCAAAGGAAAAGTCGGTTAAATATCGCTGGGTTTAATCGGGGTTCATGTTGCGTTTGATACTGTTAAGAAGTTAGACTCCTAAAAAGTCATCTCGTTATTTGTTAAGAACATCAAAAAAATCCAGACTTTCGGAAAAATGTTCCAATGCTAGAACGTTTCTTGAAATGCTTTGCTTAGCACCTGTACCTGTACAATTGTAATTTTAAACATTCCAAAAATTTGTTAGATTTAAGTGTACATCTTACCGCAGAGGCAAGGCAAGCTACGAAGATTGCAGAGATCATCATGTTGTGTATGGACTAAATGTTCTGTTCAACAGAAAAATCAAGAGGCCTAAGGTTTTATAAGAAATGTGCACAACCTTATCTCTCTTATATCACGTTTCTTTTATTTGGGACACATGAAAAGTCGAACTAGGTGCAGTTAGAGCTCACATAGTATATACTTATCATTCTATAAATATATTGAAATGTGAAGGATGAGGACCTCACTTTGCACATTGTTTATTAAGTCTTCACAGTACGGCCCTCACATTACATTCTTCTAATCCCCGAGAACTGAACAAATGGAACAAAATGCTTATCTTAATCATCTAGTTCTAACCAGTAGATAGACAGGCTCTGACCAGTCATAAGTGGTCACGCTGCTTTTATAACAAAGAATTTACCATAAGATATATTTCTCAGCTAGTTTCATGAAACAAATTTTTGGTCACAATGCTTTTCTTTTTCATGTATCACAATTGTGATGCTTTGTTTTTATGACTGACATAAGAATGAGTTTACCTATAAAATTAGACGAATATACATCAAAAGGTTTAACGAGAAATTAAAAAAAGAATTAATGCAATATCAGATATTGAGTTTCAAACATAAATATTTGGTACAAATATAAAAACAATTAAAAATATGGTATTTCAGTACTAGTATCTAACTAAAAGAAATAAAAAAAAAATGAATGAAATTGTAGAATTTCTTAACCATTTCAAAATATGAAGCAAACTTTATTAATTCGTGACTTCAGTTCTTCTAAAATTTGGCGAAATGGTAATAGTGTACTATAATTGAACATCTTTACTAAATTGTCTTCAATCGTTTGGCTGCCATAACTTAAACTGAATCCGAAATACCGTCTACATATTTCTGCTTAGGTGTCCATCTTCCCGATAGATCACTTTATAATATTAAACTCCAATCACTTAATTAATAAATTAATGATGAATATATTTCCATTACATGTTATGAAAATTACATGTTCATATAAACTTGGGGTTCACAATTTAACATTGCAAGATTATATTTTTTAAAACAATTCTATGTTATATAAAATTTGCTAACGTTAAATGAAAAGAAGTGGTAAGGGATTACTTCCGTTTATGATACTGTTTGTTAACATAAAGAAATAAAATTTAGTATTTGTTGGGAAGTTTTTGCACGCATTAAGATTAAAAACATGAAGTATCATTGGTAAAAATTTTATGTTTTGGGATTGCGGCATATTAAATCCCTTTATACTTTTTAAGATGTTTCAATTCGCGTTTTCAATTTTCAACATTTAATGAGCTCGATGCATTTCATCTTAATAAGATTACGGTTTTCTTATATATACTTCTTCTCTAACATTGGTTTTTTTTTCTCGGAAATACACATATGAGAATCAACTCTGTTTTCATTATGAATGACGGAAATATTCTTGGTTAAAATACATTGATTTTTCATTTATGGGAAATATCAAGAGGTCACCATAGTGTTACATATTGCTTTATCACATGAAAGTAGGTCTGTTATTTTAGTTCTGAACGGTAGACATTGCTGTGTCGTGCATGGACTAGGAAGCTATAATAAAATTTTTAATCAATAGTCAAAGCTAATAAGCTACTGATCATTAAGCATTGAATTGATTATTGTTTTTTGAAAGATGTAGTCACATAACTGCAACGAAATATGTTTGTATACACCGTTTTAGTCATATATACATTTGCCTTTACGCAAATACCTACAAGGGGGCATGTTTTTATTATTTCAGATCTGAATCGTAACATTAAATAATATATAGTAAACATAACAAGTTCGTCAAGATATGCGCACCCCTTATATGTACTAGTGTTCCGAGAAATTGTTGAGAATTTTTTCACGTTTCTACAAAATATTTTAAAAATAAAATATTATAGTTTACTTAATGATAGATTGTATTTGTGACAAGGTCATTGTATCGACCATAGAACTTCTGAAATGATGACTATTATAAAGAGACTGTTGATATTCTTGTTTCATCAACTTGTTTGTCAATAACTTATCTCGTTTTAGAAATTATACATACGTAGAGCATGCTCTTGCGTATCGAATCAACTGAGAGATATACACCCCATATGCAGGTGATAAGGGTATATTGCTGCATAAGTAAGGGAAGTTGACGATTGAAAAGTTAAAGTCATCACGTTTATTATAAAGCTTTGTTGATAGATCACCATTAATGACAATACAATTTTTCTAGTAAAATATCAAAATATGAAACAATGTGTCAGACTCTGTGGTATCTTATTTCAAGCTCACTGGGATATATCGTGTCAACATATGAATGGAAATGAGTATTGTTAAATGATAATACGTCGTCTATATATCTAAATGTGGAGTTAAAAGCCACAGCAAGAGATTTTTTCTTCTCATATATAAGATTTTGAATAAATTTTGCTTCATATGAATACAAAAATAGGCCTACTAACAAAGGGTCGCAATTGGTACCCATGGGAATTCCAACAGATTGTTGGAAGACCTGGTCTCCATAAACCACATAGATATTGTTAATCAGAGACTCAAGCATCTTTTTAATATCAATTTCAGAGTACTTGTGTGTACAATCAGAATATTTTTAACAAAATAACTTTGCAAATGACCAGTGACAAAGGAGGTAAATTAACGAGTTCTATTTTTATTGAAAATGCAGCTGTAAATGACAATACTAGCAAAATATTGAAAAATGGAAAGGAATTCGGCAGAGGGATAGAGCTGGTAAGGCTAGGAATAAAACCCCATTTTTCTACATTTGTGTTGTTCATCCAAGCCTTCCTTTATCTGTGAATGCTAGTTTACTAAGCATACAAACTCTTTTCTTAACTGAATTCTTCTTTCCTAATATTTTGTATCGCACAATACAAAGTAGACGGTGAAATATTCGGTGTTTCAGAAATATCACCAGATTTAGCAATCCCTTACTTATACATTACTTAAATAGGCTTTCTTTTTTCAATGGAGTAATGTAGATTATCAGCAGACAACAAGAAGTATATTAAATAAAAATAAGGTTATTCATGAATACTGGATGTATCATTAGAAAGTACGGGTATTGTCATGAAATAAAATAGTAACATTAAATTATATTGTATGTTATTAATCCAACATTTTAGATAAATGTGTAAAAAAAATTTCAATAATTTCTGGGAACACTATATATACAGTATCAGGGTTATCTAATTTTTTTTCATGATGAAAGAAAATGTAAGTATGCATTAAAGTTGAATGATGCTGTTAGCTCTTTCTTACTTATGTCACTGAAATGGAAAATAAGTAAATAATTCAAAGTTTCAATAAAAGTTACTGCAGTTGTTTTGAAGTTTACATTTTTGAATATCTATTTTTCTGACTTTTCCAGTTCCATACGAAGTTACATTTTTAAATAATGCTTATTTTTTTAAGTTCCCAGTCCCATATGATGCTTCATTTTAAATGTCTTTTTTCTGATTTTTACAGTTCCATATAATGCTACATTTTTGAATGTCTATTTTTTCTCGACTTTTCCAGTCCCATGACAAACATCGCTTTATTGATAATTCTTCCTTGTGTATTTGTCTCGAAATAGAGATGCTGGAGGTTTTCACCCTGCCACGTATGAATATCGATGATCTCCCCTTCTGCGGCGTCCCCAAGGTACTCGATGTCCATTTCCAGGATAGGATACCAGCAAATATCGTCTTTAAAGTGGCGATAGAAGCCAGCGTTAATGGCTTTAGTGGCATAATCGGTACAGTATTTACTGTACATAACATGTGTTATATGTTGTAAGTTATCTGTATCACTGAAAGGAACTCGAAGAGACAAGGTGTAAATGGGAATATCATTTGTTCTATCAGGAAAAACTGTTGTGTCCTGCCATATTTCAGAAGGGCTACGATAAATGTCGGTGACGTCCTGTTTCAGTTCACGGGATAACTCCGTTGATTGTTTCTTTTCCCAGTTGATTTTCACAATTCGTGTAAAATTTTCAGCAAATACTTCACTAGATCCAGAGAAATCATCGTAAAGTTTGTTGTGTATTGTAATTGAGGAATTGCCAATTTCTGCCATTTTATATGTTATTTTAGGCAGAAAAGGAGAAAACAGACTAATGTTATCGTGTATCTTTTGATTTAGCTTGAAATTCTGTCTTCGAACCACGTATGCAAAAGCTAAGCTTCCTTTCGTGTCATATAAGAAGAAATTATTTTGATGAGAAATCGTTCGTCTGCAAGCTTCGAACATGCGTGCAATGTTCCATATACCCCAATGACCTACAATGAAAATGACGTTTATAAATTTTAAGATGTTTTATTCTGTTTGAACATAGTTATATTACTGAAGTGTCACTGCGTGTCTTACCAGTTCGATCGAAATCTGCATATGGAATTCCATGGCAATAGAATTCGCCTTCCCTTCTCGTCACATTTTTCAAAGTGATGAACTGCATGCTGGCAGTTTTTACACTATCAAATACAAATGTTACCTTTATTATTTTTTTCGCTTAAAATATTCATTGTCATATCAAGTTTAAAAATAATCAAATACAGTATAAGAATTTCTCCCTAGAGGGCGCAGCGTAAAAATATATCAGTGTAATTATACAGAATGTGGTCCTAATGCCTTATCTGAACTTTTTGAACGCCTAAAGAAAACAAATCATAAATTCCACATCTTTTACTCTTTTTTCCTAAACATTTCACAGTAAACATTAGTTCAAAATGAACTGAAACAGTGCTACATGTTTAAGTACTTGATTCAATGATTATATGTCAATGTATTTAGTTCATAAACTGAGTACATAGATATTTGAGGGTTCATAAAGAAAATAAATGTATATTCTAGAGACTTGGACCAGATTTAAACTCCCCTCTAATCAGCAAGGAGCTCGCCCATCCAGTGTCCAGTCTGTTCCTGGGTATGTAGCAGATAAACTAAGAGTATAGTAATGATGACGAGTGAGCACTTCTAAAATTATTAATTTTATGGTCCCTGTATCAGGGGTCTGGTGTTAGGGAGGGGCTTTGTTGAATCTATAGTTAAAAATGCATTATTTCTATGTATATCATCTTTGCTCCTGGGGATCAAGGAGGCAAAATGAGTACAAAGCCGTACTAAGCAAGACTATTTTTACTACTTTTTTCTGATATTATGGACCAGGTTGAGTGTTCTGGTGCTTGGAAGGGCTCTATTTATATGTATTCTACTGAGAGAAGAAATTCCCCCTTTGCTATTCACTGGTGATAATTAATCACTGTAAATTATGTAATTAAATGGTCAATTGAATAACAGAATTATACAAGAATTTTTTAATACATACTACAAAAAGTACTTTCATAGTTTTTAATGGTCAGGTAATCTTGTAAATAATAGATAAATAAAAAGCGACAAAAATACCTAATCTTTGTACATGAATTTTCTTCAAATATCAAGAGAGGCCAAAGTGATAGGAAATGCGATATCTTTTCTAATAGTGCTCAAACAATATTATTGTGTTTAGCTTACATGGTGATAGTAACAAATGAGGACAAGGAAATAGATCTTCTTTAAGAATTCTTATTCTGCACTTGACTAATTATTTTTTTTGATCCCTGATCATCCTATTTCTCTTGCTTTTGAGCAACAAAACTTCATTTATCAGTTTATTTTGTTTTATTTTATACTTCTATGGATCCTTTACAGTGTTGCATTATACTAAGGTTACCATTGAGGCCTTTGGGCCTCTTGTTTTTTTTTTAATTCCTAATCCTTATTTATTGTTACTTGTACTTAAAAATGGGTAAAGAAAAATCAGTTTTCTGTAATACAGATGAAATATGAGATATTACAGCTGATTCCACTGAACAACCAGTTCCAAGTCCCTCCTCAATTTCCCTGCACAAAATAAAGAGTGGGTAAATGGGATAACGATTCCTTGTAAATTAAACCATATAACAAACAAAAGATTTTAATTCAAAACTTTAAAAAAAAAAAGAGAACTTTCCAGAGGACAAAGAGATAAATTTTATTCTCAGTACCTTTTTGACAATTGTGTATAAATTCTGGCAATATGATTTAGCCAATTTTTTATGATAAATAATTGATTTTTTTGACTAGTTGTTGCAATTTGCTGCTTTTTTAAATAAAACTGTTATTTCATGTGGTTGTATATGTTTATCCGAGCTGCATGAATATTTTTAATGCTTCAACCTCATTAAAATCGTGTTCCAAGACGATCCCATAACCAGGCCCGTAGGAAGCAATTTCAGTTTGGGGGTGGGGGGTGGGGGGTGGCACAGCCATACATTTTCAGTTGAGGGGGCACTATCAACTACCAAAAATTCCTTGACAACCAAAAAAAAAAAAGGTCATCCGACGTTTTTATTGAGGGGCACAAGCATATAGTATCTACGTTTTCTATAGTAATCTATATATCGGCAAAATTATGGGGGGGGGGGGGGGAGAAAAAGATTCGTAAGTGCATTAAATTATAAATCATTGAATTCTTATTTTTGGATAGTGCGGTATTCGCGCGTTATTCCATTTGTCGGCACGATCAGGTGCTGTTATAGGACCGACGACATCCAAAAATATGAATTCAATGCTTATAATTACATTATCTAATTTTCTCTCTTCATAATTGTTAATTTCATTAATCTTTATTAAGAATTTAGCATCTTTCAGAACTGATGTGCTTAATAGGCTAAACGTAAGAGCTGTTGTGACGTGGAAAGTTAAATTACGCAAATGAATATTGCGAGGGAAAAATGACAAATTAATTTTAAACAAACAATTGTTATGTTTTTACCTTAGTTAAATAGAATAATTTTTTAACTAAATTGAGCGCAAGCAATATTCATTTAGGTGTTCCTAGAGTATTGAAAATGCATGTAGTTCCTACTGTGTTCTACCTTGCAGTGTGTGTTCTAGTGCATTAAATGTTGTAGATTTCCAATGGATTTCATAAGGAAAATAATTAACACTGAATGTAAATATACGTAAATGGCATTAAAATCAATTTCATAATTTGTTAAGTAAAAAACACACTATATAAATGTAAATACATTCGTTTATGTCTCGTAAAGTGCACCATACGTCGTAATATTTATTGACCCGAGATCCACGCAAGGCATTCTGTTAAAGCAAAGTATTGGCGCACTTCTCTTTAATATAAGGCAATTCATATTAAAAAAAATATAATCATGGGGGTGGGTAGGGATGGGGGTTAGAGACCAAGTGAAAAAATATACCACCCTGATTCAAAAGCTTTTTCTTGCTAATAAAACTTTGCTTAATTTTATTGTGCTAATATTCTTTACAGAAATATTCTTTAAAGCTAATGTACATTTCAAATATAAACTAATTATAAGATTGAAATGAATGACAACAAGCCGTTAAACTTTTCTCTTTGAAATTATGTGGAAGCTTACCTATGTTTGGCCTTTGATCTACGAGGAAACAAACGTGTAAAGAAGTATAAAGTCGTTCTAGCAATGATGCATGTTTGCCAGGTGACAAAGTAACATACATTGTACTATAATGTTCATAGTTAATAAATTGTCTATATTAAAAAAAAAAATACTAAAAGTCTGGAGAATTTTATCGTTCAATATCTTGGCGTTTTATTGAACCCTGAGTTTGTATTAGGTATATGAGTATGCCCGAAACATTCTAAATACGAGCGTTCAATATCGAACGCCCCGTTGTAAACAAAAAAATGTCGTCTGGTCAACCTCTCAAAGGCAAATTTATGATAGGCATTGGCAGCTAGGTAAGATGTTTTATTTTTACACAAAATTGAAATTTAGTACGTATTAGCTTCAATAAGACCTCAGTAAGCAATTCATAACGCTTGGTAGGATAATTGGAATGATGCGATATTGAACACTTACAAGACAGACGTTAATATTTAAATACCTATACTGAAAAATTCTAATTAATTTGAGTTATTTAATTGAAATAATTAATATAAATCAATGGGAGTTGTTTTAGCTGTATAATAAAGGAGTTATTGAACTTATATTGGTGAATATTGTCACTCGTTGGCTGTACAAATGCATTGGCAAGCTCGTGCATTTGTACAGCCAACTCGTGCCAATATTCACCAATGTAAGTTCAATAACCTTATAGTACTGAAAAATATTAACGTTTAGCACATTTTGCATGTTTGAAATATTATTGCATGGATACATTTCAAATAAAAGTCCAAAATGTGACTTCCAAAATACATTTTCAGGGTTAGAAACTCCCTAAAATTACAACTCGCAAATAATTGCGAGTACCAAGAAAGTGAACTCGCAATTTTATAAGACTACTCGCAATTTTCATATAAAGTTAAATTTAAATAAATTAAATGCATGTAACTTAAGGAAAAAGTAACTACTGTACAATACACAAAATACAACTACAGTGTGACTTTTATTTAAATTACTGATTTAAATCAAAAGCATTGTGTTCTGTCATATTATATAATTTTGCTACAGTTTCAATGCAAAAAAATCAACTCGCAAGTTTTTGCGAGTTACCTAATTTTTAACTCGCAATTTGGGAATTCTAACTCACATTTTGCGAGTTGTATATAGTGAATTTCGAACCCTGATTTTAGGTTATAAATTTAGCAATTTTTGAGAATCAAAAGGGAAAAAAATATCACTTAAATGCCAGACATTTTTCATCAAATAATACACAGATTAATTTTTTTGCAAAAGTTAGGTAACAAAATATAGCACATTTTTCGATAAAGAATAGTCAGAAATGTCGAAAATACTGCAAGCTGTAAACAAGGCGTGAATTTGAATACTTTTTCTTTTTATGCTGTGCAATTCTGGTTTCAGCCAGAGTTAATAAAACATGCAGTCACTGAAAAGTGGATTCCATTTTCACATCAAATCTGATGTGTATACCTTCATCATTTTATCAAAAATACAGATATAATATACATTTTATACCCCTGTTTGGAAAGCGGGGTATATAGTGATAGGGGTTCATCGTCCATTACACTAACCATCTTTTACCCTCATCTCCCCTTACACCACTAAATGTAATTTCATGACACTTTCATAGATTAATCTTTATAATAGAGTGCCATTGTGCATTTCCTATTTTACATTTTGATGGAACACACATTTGGGGTGTCCCATAGTAAAACATGGACACTGCAGGCCAGTAGAACCCCCCCCCCCAGTTTTTTCTGAGTATAGTATTTTGCTTTAGTAAATTTTCCTTTAGATGCTGTTTGCCCGCTTGTCAGATTTTTTTTTGGGAAGTTGGCCCCCCACTTTTGAAACCGTTGCTTCGGCCTGCACTGTCATTCTCTCTATAATATTGGGGGCTACTCCCCCAATACGACTGAATAAAATCGTCAGTCAGCATTTGACTTATGGTATGTCACTCGTGAAATAAGTTATATCAAGGATTTTTAAGAAGTATATTTTAAATAAGTACTCCTATAGCGTGACTCAAAATCGCAAAGGAAATGG